CCGAAAAGCCTTAAAGGAATACTATCATCGATGAAAAGAGTTGTTACCCATGTTCTTCACTCTAGAAATACTAGTAGATTGCCAATATGCAAGTTAGACATGCCCGTGACCAGTTCTATAAATTTTCCGAGAAAACATGCACATATGACCAATTGAAAAAGACATGGTCGAAATTTAAGTAAACTTCTCAGAGTAACTTTTTCCAGGCAAGCAGTCGCAGACAAGAAATTATAAAACGAAAGCAATCGATCCCACAATAACATCAAGCCTGCAAGTTTTAAGCTTCCATGGGTTGTCAAGCACAAATTCTCAAATTAAAAGGGAAAAAAAGGAACAGGAGTAAAAGCATTCATTTCAGGACCCAACCTAGCCAAAATCAACAAGCATATGACGCTTGAACAAACCCAAGAACAAGCTTATGAAAAAGTTTTATTTTCCATCTACGTAATTTAATCGATGTTCGGCGATCTTTGTTCTCTCGTGAGACTATAAAGCAACCAAAGAGCATGATACTCAAAATGACAATTATCTTCTCTTGCTAATGACAGCATCTGTTAACTGGAACAACCAAGACTAGCAAAAGAACCCAGAACAACCTAAAAGTTGAAATTTTCAAATCAGAGAGGAAGCCTCCAAAATTCGGTCAAAACCCACCATGCCCCATTAATCAAGCTATGATCCGGACGGAAAAAGAACCAAAATTTAAGAAAATTAAGGTTATCCACAATCATGGATGACGAGTTTTCGGAATGACAGACCTTGGACTTCTGCAGAGCTTCAGAGACCTATTTCACTTTCTATGTGCTCAACGATGACCTTTTCTCGAACAGCATAACATATGGAGAAGCAAAGTAACTCGTCGGATTTTCCCGTCCGGCCCCCAACTTGCTTTCCAATTGGTGATATTTTCATTTTCGATCTCGAGTTGTTTTAATTTTGATTTCTTAATATTTTTTTAAGAAGTATCCCGCACTCAAGGTCTGTGAGAAATAGAATTTACTGACATAAAAATAATGCCTCGGTTCATTATCTAATTTAAATTTAATTGTCCTCAACAAAGCATCAGAATTATTGTAATGTTAATATTATTTTAAATAGAACAATTATTTTTTTAACACGTTTTAATCATCAAAATTCGAAACATATATACACACACAAAAGCTAGTAAAAAGTAAAAGAAAAACAATAATGCATTTATTTATATTATTTTAATTTTAAACTTGAAGTTTGCATTTTTTTCAATTAAATACTTCAACTTTACTTTAGTAGCACTGTTAACATCTGTAATCTTTATTTGTTAGTCCTTATACAAGAATTAACAGTATTAACAAAATAAAATTAAAATATTTAATTAAAAAAACAGTAAAAGTGTCAAATTAAAAATTAAGACAAAAAATATGTGTAGATCAATTTTTCTAGAAATAAAAATCCCTTTTTTCCCAATACTTTTTTTTTTTTGGTCAACCCTTTTTTCCCAATACAAAACCACTTATTTGAACACTTACTAATGTGATGTACTCAATATCGCCTAATGCTTAATAGATTATCTCATTTTGACCTTAAGCCATGTGGCCATTCTTAAACTTCTAATATTTAACTTCTTTTCAAGGCACTGTTAACAGTAATATTTAATGCAGTTTTTTAATAAAGTTGTACGTTTATATGACAGTTTTTATAAGATACTCCTCCAGTCCTTAATATAAGACCCATTTAACTAATTTGATTAGATTAAGGAAGTTATGTAAGTTGGTTAATTATAAGAAAAGTGACACATTTTTCCTAAAACACCATAATCATCTTTCTTAATACCACATCTCCCTCTTCTATTTGATTATGGTTGAGAGAGTATCCATAGGGGTAATTTAGAGAAAATTAATAAATATGATAAATGGGTCTTATATTTATGACCAAAACCAACTCAAAAATTGGGTCCTATATTAAAGACTGGAAGAGTAACTTGTAAGTAAACAGGACAAAAAATACACGTGCCATCTGACTTGTAAATAAAATTTTTTTTAAAAAAAGGTACGATATAAACGGTGGTTTTTTTTTTTTTTAGTCTTTTTGATGATGATGTGATTTGGTTTCGGAGAATCAGTGGGTTTTGGGCCAAGAATGTGTCCAAAGCAAGAGGCAGCGTCCAAAACCCAGAATCAATACCTCTTAGAGTCACCAGGGAGTTGGGACCATTTCCAACCAGGGGTTTCAAAATTAACGCCAGTGAATCTAATTTGGGCCCAACCTTTATCTGGTTCTATGGCCCTGTTACTGTGAAGTTAAAAAAACAAAGGGAATTTATCACACAAAAATGGACAATGACAAACGTTTTGTCTTTTTTCAGGAGGCCCAATTGGGTATGGAGTTATAAGCAGGAAAATTAGCCCACATGATGAACTGGGGATGTTCATGGCCGACGGGACCATTCAGATTGCCGACTTGATAATTTGGTAAGGCAGGCTTGTCATTGCCATTCAGGGCCCTGTTTTTGTCCCCACATTATTTTCTTAGAAAAATTAAAATAAAGTCCTAAAAAAATATAATTACAAAATAAGCCTTATAAATTATTATTAAGACTTTTTAATAATTAATTTTTTTTTAGGACTTGATTGTAATTCTTCTCATTTTCTTCCCTTCATCTCATTAATGTCGCTCCTCTCCCCTGTTCCCCCCATATAATACCATCTCCATCAAGCTGTCGCCAAACATGGCCATCGTGGTCTTATGTTTTATTTTCTTCCTTAAACTCTCCGATAAGGACTGAATTTACGTCCCCATATTCATTCACACTCGACATTTTTCTCTTTTAGAAGGTCTTATAAATTCAACCATCAATAGAATGAACCAGTTTCCTGGTGTTATAAATAGCTCTTGAGTAACATTTTCCACCAAAATCCATTCCGCCGAGTATTATTGATTGGATCTGAAACAGGATCATGTTCATTGAAGAATAATTTGGAGGAAAGTGATTTGTAAAAGCTGATAGCCTTAACATGGACTCTCGTCGCCCATTGATCTTTTTTCCGTTCCCGTGGTTTTTCGACCTCTCCCTCCACATATGTTTTAGTAGGTGTTTGGACGTGTGTAAAATACTTTTTAAAAATATTTTTTTAAAATCAAAACAAACTCTTTTATATATTTATTTTGTATATTGTAAAATCATTTTTAAATTATAGTTTAGTTTTCATCCAAGCATCTGTTTAAGTGTATTCTCACGTGGGGTCTAGATTGCGTCTCTTGCACCACGGCGCAGTTCCCACTTCCCATCAACCCTCACGACATGTACATCGCTTTTGGAGGTAAGCATGACATATTTGATAGTTCCCAATCATAACCAGCTTGGGCAAGAAAAATAATCCAACTAATTTTTAATTAAGTCTTTGTAATTTTTTATGAGATTTTTATAATTTTGTCCATTTATAAAAAAAGGATTGGTGGAATGATATATAATTAAATAAGCTTACTGGAAAAGAGTAACTAATAAGTCGAGCAAAAAATGGCACTTAATTCTTTTAAAATAAGCTGTATGAGAAAAAAAAAAAGATTTCAAGAGAGATGCTTATAATTAAACAAACAATATACTCATTCAGTTTTAAACATAAAACCTATTTAATAGGTCTTATATTTATATTCGTCCGGTTTACACTATAAAATATGTTTTATATTTATTATATTCCTATTCATCCGGTTTATATTACAAAATATGTTTTATATTTAGAACGGATAAATATAAATGTAATGTGATAATACTGGATGTGAAAAGAACATGGAGAGTTGGAAGAAGCCAGCAGTCACGAGTAAGTCGGGCAACCAAATGGACCTACTATCCCCATGGCTACGTTTCTTCCACAACCCCCAAATTCTCTCTCTCCCTCGCCCATGCTTATCTGAGCCTGACAGGCCAACACCACCTTGCACTTCGTTCTCTTTTCAAAGTCTTCGTCTGCATCATCAGTCAGTGACTCAGTGGTTAACCGCCTAAATCAAGCCTAATCCCTTACCACTCGTCAAGTGCCCTATCCACGCATAGGCTCCACTCACAGACCAAACACACACCTTCCTTCCTTCCTTCCTTCCGAGTCTCTCCTTTATTTTGTTTTTTCGCCAACTACTTTGTTAATTTCAATAGATTAAAGAAGCCAAAAAATTAGTTATTTATAATAAATGTGACATAATCTTGTTAATATATTTTTGCACAACATTGGATTATGTATTCAGTTAATTTAGGTTAAAAAAATGGGAAACAAATAATTAAGATGTTATATTTGATATCAAAGATTGGGAATTCAGTTCTCACCGTTATTAGGTGTTTTTTTTCCTAAGCTAGCTCAGAAATAGTATGTTTGTAACTTATCAATTCATCAATTCATCTTTTTTTTTTTTTTTAATGCAATCATGAATGCACCTTTAAGTTGCCTTGGAAGTTCAGTATCCACCTAACTTCAAAAACATTATTAAGACTCGCATAATTTTTTTTAAAAAAAACCTCATCTACATTTTAACGGAATCGACAATTATTAGCTGGGAATCTCTAATCTCTAACTAGAAAATAAAGTCAAACGAAAAAACCTTAATTATTCAGCACCTCACCAAATATAACCTTCCCGCTAGCTAGGCTTGGTCTGGTCAGGAAGCAACAGGACATGTCTTTGTGTTAGCTAGCTTCCAATTTTAGTTATAATGCAATCTCTAACTGCAATATTCCACCATTTTTTAATTTTTTTTCTGTGACACTTGCAAAATGTAATTATAAAAGCGTGATTTTTAGCCTGGAATTTCAGATATGTGATTGCGTTTATACTTTAAAGCAAATGAATTACAAATAACACTATCGTATAGTAGTATTACTTTTGGTCATTCATCTTTTTTCCCTCTATCTTTGTTTTCTTTAAATATACAGAGAATCTCGAAATTATTGACTAGAATCAGTGTTAAAAGGGTAGGAGTGGCTGTCATGGATTTTTCTGTTTAACACTGAATACTGTAGAGAGGCGGAAACGACGCGTGAATTTTCAAAAACTATCCTTTGAAAATCTACCACAAAGGATTTTTCGGGTCATCAGTGAGGAACAAGTCCACCAAAAATTTTGATGAACTAACCCAAAGCTTCCGTCTATCTCTTTCTGATCTGTTTTCTCCTATTTAAATTTCTCTTCTCTCTCCGGCCCCTTCTTCTCAATACGACAACGAGCTCCTTAATTTTCTTCACGTTCCCTCATTCCCTCCCCCATCACCTTTCTCTTTTTCTTCTTCACGCGACGGTGGAATAACCCGGATCCTACTCTGATTCCGTTTCCCTCAAAGTTTCCTCGGAACTTCGCGGAATCTTTCGTCTCGCTCCTTCAGATAACCATAGACTCTCCCTTCGCTGTTATCCGATGGCGACATCACTGATTCCTTATCGGAATTGAATTCTATCCGTTTCGCAACCAATAAGCCGGCTAAACATTTGTTCAAGTTTAGTTCAAGTGGATCTCTTCTTTTCCATCTTTGTATACCAATTCTGAAAAAACGGAGCTCTCACTTTTCCTTCACTTTCTCTCATTCCCGAAAGACTCGCGATTCCAGGGAATACTGATTTCCGAAATGGAATCCGTCGTCGTTTTGGCATTGTTTGCTTTTCTTGCATTTGCGCCGTGGCGCGTACTCTCGGAAGAGAGGCTTCTGGTGAATATGACTATGGTTCGAAGCGCCAGAGCTCTTGGTGCTCGTAAGCTCTGAACCCGTTTGTTTTAAATTTATTTAACTCCTGAAATTTTATTTTATGATATGAATCGACATACACCGATTATTTGTTTTAAAATGAAATTTGTAGTTTGTTTGGATGGGAGTTTACCGGCGTATCATTTTCACAGAGGCTTCGGCGCCGGAGCCAACAACTGGCTTTTACAATTCGAGGTACGCCGAAGTTTTCTCTCTCTCTCTCTCTTTTTTTGTTGGTCTCAGGCCAAAAAAAATTCCCCTTTTTTCCTTCCTTTTTTATAGAATTTAGATTACATTAATAAATAGATTATTAGCGCCAACTTAGGAGAAAATGTAGGAGATGTTGTAACAAATTTTTAACAGGTCACACAGTTTAAGTTAACAAGAAAAACAAACAAATCACACTAGTTGATCGCATCTTTGGAAATAATATTGAATTTACAAATTTGTAAGATTAGAATATTTAAATGAATTAAGTTAGAATTTTTTATAAAAATTGAACATACTAGCCCCACAGATATTCATACTATCCTATAAGCTAAATTGCGGCGAAATTAATAGGAGTAACAGTTTGGCGTCGGAGGGAGGAGTGGGGAAGGAATTATTGGCGCCTTAGCGTTCCCTCTTGCGCGAAAAAGTAACGGCGGTGTCTTTAATTTTTGGGGCGAAGAATGATGATTGGTTGGTTTCGAAATTCCATACGACAATACTTTTATGTCGTCTATCTGGAGGTTAGCGCGCGCACTATTTTCATTAATGGAATTTGGTGTTTCATTTCCGCGCGGCCGACCCAAATCCTGATGACGTAGCGACTTTTAATTGGTTTGGCCGTTGAGTCGTAATTTTCTTCATTTATTTTGGTTTAAAAAAAATAGTAAACATATTTAATGTTGGAATGCTTGTTCCATATGCCTACAATTGATCCCCACGTCAAATCACCAAAGGATGTTTGATAACCTAAGCTCCTCGGCATATTAAATTAGATATGGTGTCTCTGTTTTAATCGACGTCTAAAAACATAAGCGCAATTTTCATATATTTTATATTCCGCATAATGTTAATTTTTTTTTATTTTAAAAAAAGCACAATTTTGGTCCATTCTCAACTCGTGATAATTTCTTGTATGGTGGTAATGACCGGATTCTTTCTAATGCTGCCACGGATGTGTTATTTGTTAACATTTATGTAGAAAATAATATTACATCCGATCCTATTTATAAGAGCTAGTTTACTAATTTAAAAAAAGAAGTTAAGTTAGTTATTTGTAATAAATATATGTTGTCTTTCTTAAAATATTTTTATTAATCAAGTGTATTGGTTAGAACTATTATTATTAAAAGGATTATTGTGAGAAAAAATACATAAATATAAAAAAAAATGAATTAGGGTCTTATATTTAGAATTAAAATAAAAATTAAATAAGATTTTATATTAAAAAACTGAATGTGGTGTAATAAAATTTTTCGAATTTAAGTTTTTTTAAGGCACGGGTGCACTTTATAGAGTTTATTATTCAGTCGATCAGTCATCTTGCATAAAACTAAAAGTACAAACTGGCAACATGTGACGCCACCGTGTCCTCTCTTTAACTAACCAAGATTCCCGACGACAAATTAACTCTAACTGCTAATTACAAGCAGGAGTATAGCTTCTTCTAGATTATATTTATATTGATAATCACATGCCTTTTCGTTTTTAAAATAATAAACGGATATTTCAAATATGTTTTTAATCTAAAATTGCACTTCTGCATAAAAAATTTAGCTAAAAAAATCTCTTAATTTAGTTTATTATGATCATTCGGAACTTTCGTCTTGTCATTTTTCATTGCGTACCACTTTAACGTAACGTGCGCTTGAAGATAGAACAAGGATAGATGGACCAATGAAGTGTGGCGATGGAGAATGAGGTCTATTCATGCCAAGCTTTAAATAGAAGCAAATTGAAGACACCAAATGATGAAATGTGGTGACAGAAGGGACATTATATCATATATATTCAGATACATTTAGTTTGGTCTTGTGGGTCATTGATTCTACTTGAAGAAAACAAATGTGGATAGGACCAGTCCAGAATATTTAGGCACGTTTCCTATTAATAATATAAAGAAAAATTATTTTACCCTCTTTAATTAAAATGTATTATAATATTATAATTATTTTGCCTTTATTATTTCTTTTTATTTTGCACATTAATAGAGGCCTTGCATTTGCAACACATTTATACAAAAAAAAAAAGTGATATACAGGATAAATTTGGGTAAATTTAGTTGTGAGAATCTACATTTATTGCATTATTCTCTTTTTAATATACTCCTCTATATATGAGTATGTATTTCTGTTTAGCCGTAAGGGGAAAAAATTGAAAGGTAGGACAAAAAGTTGTGCATTGAATAATCTTTGACAGTGACGATGGTCAATTTATGGTGCATGCCAGGGAGGTGGGTGGTGCAATGACGTGGAATCATGCGCAGAGAGAGCAAAGACTCGCCGGGGTTCAACTCGCTACATGACCAAGTTGGAGGTCTTCTCTGGCATCTTAAGCAACAATGCCTCCCTGAACCCGGGTACGCACACTTCTAGTTTATTTTCTTACTAAAAATGTGAATTCATTTTTAATTTAACAGTTTATTCAAATAATTGAGATTATTAGTGTAAAAGAAATAAGATGTAATTTCTTACCTCGAAATTCATGCGACGACTCTCGTGTTGTAGGGATAACAGAGATCCGTCACCACTTAAAAAGCTTTCCGAGAGAATTGACCTTAAAAGGGCTTTTGAGAGAGGCATAAGGCTGCTTTAAGAGACAATAAAAGTTAGAAAAAAGAACGAAGCACGAATTGAACTAAAATGCGTCTATATTATACTACTTCCGATCTTAATTATGAGAGTCAGTTAATTAATTTGAGGAGATTAAGAAAGTAAGTTGAGTTAGTTATTTGTCCTAAATAGGTATTGTCTTTCTTAAAATATCTTTACTAATCAAGTGTATTGACTAGAATTATTATTGCTAGAAAGGTTACTTTGGAAAAAAAATGTATAAATATGAGAGACAAAGTGGATTGAGTTCTTATATTCAGAACCAAAATAAAAATCAAACAGAGTCTTATATTAAAAACCGGATGTAGTATATCAATTGAAGAATTTAATTTGATAACACGAATGTAATTAATCAAAACAAGCACAACTTTCTTGATGTTCTTTTTCAATAACTACAAAACACAAGAAAGAACGATCACGGATCCATGATAGATAAACAAAAAGTGATATCCCTGATTCTGCGTTCACATTGACGGGGTTAAAAATTTTGTTTTCCGTGTTGAAGTTCCCCGGCAACTGCCCCCATCCACGTGTCCTTTCACGGGCTCCTCTAGGAGATCCACGTAGCTGTGTGTTTCCTCCTGCAAAAAGCTCTCCGCCCTTGTTTGTTTCTCTTGTCCTGTCCCTACTGCTCCTCTCTTTGTTGGTTCTTCTGGGCTATTAAATGCAAAATATATAAAATTTCAATTAAAACATCTTGTATATGCCGAGTTTCTTTTATAACAGTACAAATAAGTGTGTGGTCTTTATATGTATAATTTCTTAATTTCTTAATTAAATCAACTATGTTATAAAGAACGTGTATATAAAACAACTATACTTACATCAAGTGGAAAGAATTAGATCACCAAAGTGAGATGGGGGGTTAAGTTTGTGAGGCAAAAGGGTCATGTTCGAAATGTCATTATTTAAGCCTGATGATACTTAAATTTGATCTTATGGTATCATTATCACATAACTTTTCTAAGGCATTTAGGAAGTTTTTCTGTCTTGAATTTGGGTGTGCACAGATTTCTACAATTGGAACCGTGTTAAGATTCGATATTGTGATGGAGGCTCTTTCACGGGAGATGCCTTGTTCAACAACGGGGTAATTGTCTCTTTCCCCTTCCTTCCTTGCCATATATTCTTTCCCTTTCAAATTTATTACGAGATTTTTTTTTTCGAATGGTTTTATGTTTCACAACATAAAATATTTTGGGCAAAATAATGATTTATTAATCACCTTATTTTCAACATATCCTTCATTAATTATGAGTTGATTAGTGGTTAGCGTTAAATGAAAGGCATTTTTTAGAATTTTCTACATATTTTGTTTTAAATTAAGACCCCTAACTATATTTAACGAGGTTCATTGGTTTTTATAAATTTTCTAAAAAAATGTTTTATAAATTGAAAGTGATGGACTATTTAATTAGTTTCTGCGTCAAATTATGAAAGCTCTAAGACAAGATGTAATGACTTTTGGTGCATGCATGTGAAATGAACCCCAGACAACACTGCTTTATTTCAAAGGACAAAAGATTTGGGAAGCAATCATTCGCGACCTCCTGCCTAAAGGTTTGGGCAAGGCACGCAAGGTATATATACTGTGTCTACTCTTCACTTTCCGCACATTTCTTCAACGCAAGATCTAACCATATTTTAATGCTCAAAAGCTTTCCTTTAATTTTTTTTTGGCCCAAAAAAGCTATCCTTTAATTGGACTCCAAAATGTTGTCATCATGGATGGTATTGGAAAAAAGCGTTTTCTTTTGGTGGGGAGGATCGCAAAGTTTTAGATTTGGTTTTCCAACATATATTTTAAAATATACTACTGCACAAGTTTTTCTGAATTAGTAAGATATATGAAGAATAAATTATTTCTCTGATACTTAATATAAAACCTAATTTGAAAGTAGATGTTAGTTCTATATGTAAGACTTGTTTCATATATTTGTCGGCTTTTTTTTTCAAATCAACTCCATTGGTAAGCAAGCATGAAAAAGAAAAAAGGAATTAAGGAAAATGATCAGAGTGTTTTCAAAAAATATATAATATTAATTAAACTAATATTCTTAATCTACTCAAATTAAATAATTAGATCTTATATCAAGAATCGAATGAGTACTATTTTGTTTATGCTCGTGACTTACCAAATATGTCTGCTTGTGTAGGCTTTGCTTTCAGGTTGTTCGGCAGGAGGTTTAGCGACATTTCATCACTGTGACAGATTCGCCAGTTATTTGCCAAGGAATGCTAGTGTTAAATGCTTGAGTGATGCTGGCTTCTTTCTTGACGGGTAAGTTCTCTCTACATGGAAGCATTATTCCAATATTAAATTAAATTATTACTTCAACATTCTGTTTTTAACATTTTCAATTTTCTTCCCTTCCGTCTGTGCAGGAGAGATATCGCTTTGAACCACACTATGAGGTACTTCTTCAAAAGCCTTGTTTTATTGCAGGTAAGCTTCTGATACATCACTCACACTGACCATATAATACACTTTGAGGATCTCATTTGCTGTGTGCTAATTAGTTGATCATTTTAAAATAATATTTATATTTCTTCTATCAAGTTAAGCTAACCAAAAAAAGGGGGGGGGGAAAAGAGAGAGTCGGTTTTTACTTCTCATGGTATGCAAAATGAGATATATGATATTTATGATGTTTTCATGATCATTACTTTTAATTCATCAAAGATACGAGTACAAATTTTTTTTTATATTTATAAGGTTTTTATTATTTGATTTTTCCATTAATCTTATCTTATCTTATTTTATTTAGTGTGACAAGTGACATGCCAGGTCTTGTTCCCTTTTTTCTTCGATATTTTTGAAGATTAAGTGAAATTAATGAAGTAATAAAAAACAGAAGCATGTCTTTTATTTATAATTTTAAAAATGTACGTTAACTGGTTAAGTTCTTAAAGTTTTCAAAATAGGCTATTGACAATTTTCTGATGAAAAAATGCATGTAGCTAGGGTCACGAGAGTATTGCACTTCATCCATAATTTTATACAATGTTAGAACCTTATATCGTCATGGTGCTTGATTTAGGTCATTAAAATTAGATCTAAATGATTTAGATCTTGTTTTATTTTATTTTTTATATTTTTAATATATATATTTTTGTTTTGCGAGGAGTTGAAAAGCATAAAAACTATCTCGTGCCTGATAGACTATTCGTGAGGCCACGGATTGCATGAAATTTGAGGAGTAAACCACATTATTTTGGGATGTGAATAGTGCGGCTTATTAAAATTTTTATATTTTATATTGACTTATATTAATTAAATTAAAAAACACCTAAACAATGAGCACCACATGCTCGTCTTTAAGGTCAGTAGATGATCTGGAGGCACAATTTAGGTCATACAGTAGACGTTTTAGGGTAATTTGAACCTAAAGGGATGGGCAAGAAAGTTTTGGAAAACTTCAAAAAGGTGAATGTAATTTCCTCTTAACATTCAAAATTCCATGAAGAAGAAATGGGACCACTCATTTTGTTCTTTTTGCGAACTCAAATTGCAATCTTACTTGGCACTATTTGTTCGACAGGGGATAGAGCGGAATCTAAACAGAAATTGTACGAGGTCCCTGTTCTTTCCAGACTTGGTAAATTTTCTTTATGAACTCGGACCATTACCTTGGAAAATTCAGAGTTTTCTCAGGACATGATTTTGACTTGTTTCCTGTTCTTATGCAGTGCTTCTTTCCTCAGTATGTCTTAAAATACATAACTACACCATATTTCATCTTGAACTCTGCTTATGATGTATTCCAAGTAAGTGCTTCTGACACTTACCTTGTGTAGTTACGTGATCTTATCACTATAACCTACGAATTACGAGAATATGACTTGAAATGCCAACAGTTTCACCACATATTGGTCCCACCTTCTTCTGATTTGCGTGGACACTGGAATCACTGCAAGATAAACCCGGCGGCATGCACCCCAGACCAAATTGAAGTACTGCAAGGTGGTCCCCCCGGCCAAAAAAAGAAAAAGAACGACTCCTCTGATCTTAAAAATAAGACTCAATTTTATAGTGTAGATTATATTACAAAATGAGTTTTATATTTAGGATTGGAGGAGTATGTTGTCTGTTCTATACGTGTTCAAAGTTCCTGCTTCTCTCCCCAATGATTAAGAAAATTGATTTTTACTGACTCTCAACTCATTGTACCTTGTTCAGGCTTTAGGCGCCACATGCTTGCAGTTTTGAGACCATTCTATGTATCTTCAAGAAGAGGGGGAATGTTCATTAATTCATGCTTTGCTCATTGCCAAAGTGAATCCCAAGATACATGGTTTGGAGATGATTCCCCAAAAATAAACGACAAGGTACCAATCTTGATCCTCGACAGAGAGGCACGATGATAATGCATGTGGTTTTCTAAGGTTACTTGCTTTTTAATTTGCTGTTATTGCATAACAAGTAAACTGGCTTCTGATCGCTAGTTAAGCCTGTTCTATTCTTCATTTTTGGGTGAAAGCAGAGTTTTTCTTCTTTAATAACGTGTTGAACTGCTCGTTTACAGACTATTGCGGAAGCAGTTGGAGATTGGTATTTTGGCAGAGACAGAACCAAGGAAATAGACTGTGCATATCCGTGCGATAAAACTTGTCATAATCTTATACCACAGGCTCAGGTAAAGCGTTTGATTTCAAATTATATTTTTTTATTAAAATTTTAATATTAATTTGATTCTAAATTGATGAGCCAGATAAACTTTAATCTCCCTAAGAATAAAGTTGTTTCTTAGTCCATTCGGCATCTATACCTTATTCGACAAAAGGTCAAATCATCAATAACAATAAATAGCTTTATGGACATATTCCGGAGGCCACACTGTTAATTCAGTCTTCTTTCTTCTCATTCATCTCCGGCGATTTCTTGGAGAGCCTTGATGTCCATTTATCTTATCTGATTCAAATTAAAATGTTGCAGGTTGATGAAAATATTGGAGTGAACATTTAGCTTCATGCTTCTCTGTACACCTCAGAGAAGATCTGATTCAAGTTGAAATGTTGCAGGAGTAGTGAAGAGTTGGCTTCACGCTTCTCTATTTCTCATAGAGATGCTCTATGAAGTGGGGAATCTTGAAGGAATTTAGGTAGAGAGCTATGCAAGCATAAAGTGATACAGATAGCAAATTCTTTGACAGAACCAGGAATAGAAGATAGAAAAGCAAGAGAGGAAAGTATAGCTGTAGTGATTCTTATTCAATCAGACGCATTATATTCTTTGCTTATTATTTTGTCGATCTCAATAAATTATCGTTTGCCTATTGTTTCTCCAATTACACTGTTAATTTTCTTGAACTAGAGCTTTTGTCTAAGCGATCAGACTGAGCTCCTTTAATACATCCAAGTAGTATGAGTGAAATATATCGTCATACAAAACCCTGCATGTAGCAAGTTTATGAAGTGTCGCCTTCACCAATCGCCTGGTCTTGTCAAAATTTAGATCCACTATACTCTATGATAAGAGAGAGAAATGCAGAGTATTTTTCTTTTAATTTTCATTCATTCTTTTTTTTTCCCCTTGAGATACTCATTCTTGTTGAATCACTTAAGTTTTAGGACCCATCCTCACAGTGCCCATTAGTTTATGACCATTTCCACCTCATTTTATCCTCTCCACCTTCTGGATGTGGGGGTAGCATGTATATTTTGACCCCTCCTGCTTTGTATAGGACCCTTCTTCGTTGACACTTAAAGCCATGGCAATGCATCCTCCAAATGCTGCAAGAACAAGCCTCAATAGCAATGGCTATATATAGAGTCCAAGTACAATAACATAAAAATAACACAACATTCAGAAACAAATTCCTGAAGACTAGGTAATAAATTGCATTTGACTATGAATAATTAAAACCCGCAGATAGCAAACTCCTATTTTCTGGGACATCATAACAATATGGCCGATCTCAATGACGGTGATGGTGGAGGTGGTGAGAGTGATGAAGGTTCTTGTGATCACTTACCTAGGCCATCTCAAACATGTGATTTTGTATTCCAACAACCTACGAGTACTCCACGGAGGGCAATACAAAGTAATCACTTTTCTAGCAGTTGGAAGCAACTAATATGTGGGGCCAATAACCTTTTCAGAGACTTTTGGATAGTATCTTTTAAGATATATGAATAAGGGGAGTAGACTAATAACTTAATCACAACAAAAATTAAAAAAATCCAGCCAGAAAAGAGCTACTTAAGGTTTTCTGCTCTTATCTCTGGATCAAAATTAGACACCATTGAATTTGAAAAATTTACAAGTGGAACAATGCATTAATATTCCAGTGAAAAAAAAAAAACTAAGGAAAGTTAAAATTAAAACAGAGAACATGAGCGAGCAGCTATACAATCAAAACTGATGTTGGAAACGAGGTTTTGTGAAGTTCAATTTTGCAGTTTTTAATTCCCACTATATACATCTCCGTTTGTGTGTTAGTGGGAAGTAGGCAAGGTCAAGAAGGGGAGATAGAGAGGGAGAAAAAAATGGAAAAAGGGTGCCGTGAAAAAGAATTAGAGAATAAAAATTTCAGAAAAATTACTTGGGAGGGTATATCAAGGTAAATGGAACAGACACTGGCGATGGAGAGCTATGAACGAGCGGAAGCCTAGGGAGAAATGAGGAGAGTGGAAATGCAGAAGCATGGATCAATTGTTTATGAGATAATTATACCTGAGGGTTAAAAGTTAATTCTGTGATATGATGAATGAGATAATTAGAAATGAGGGCTACTCTAGCCTGCTCGACCCAATTATGTAATTGGAAATGAGATAATCAGATGATCATACGTTAAAGAGATGTCGTGTCGCTGTAAGAAATGGAGAAGAGGCTGCAGCATCTCTAGTAACGGCGTTTCTTAAAAGGACCAATTATGTAATTTCCCAATAAAGAAATCAGGCCACTCAGACCACATCCTTCCATCCGCCCAAGACTCATCCTCTGAGCCCGCACCATCTGTCCCTCAACCTCTTGCGCCACCGGCACCTAAGCTCAGAACCACCAGCACCCCTCCTTTTGAAATTACTAGAACCCCCTTCCCACTATGCAGCATCAAAACGCAGCCGTTTCTTCCAGATTCCCTGCGCTGCCTATTTCTTCCCCCTCCCCTGCTTCTTCTTCACACATCTCTTCCTCGTTTTCTGTACTGGCAAGCAGGAGCACCAGGAGGAAGAAACACTCTCAGAGAGCTTCCAGGTGGAGTGGATGCAATTGGGTTACTCTCAAGCCAATGCCTGCCTCTTCTTCTCTAGTTAAATCTAGCTGTGAGGATAGTGATAATAGTAACAGCAACAATAACAATGGCTCTCTTCGTAGTTTCAAGCTGAACGAGTCCACCTTCTTAGCTTCTCTCATGCCCAAGAAAGAGATCGGTGCTGATCGCTTCCTCGATGATCACCCGGAGTACGATGGCCGCGGTGTTGTCATCGCTATCTTCGGTATCTCTCCACCCCATTTAGCTTATCAGTCACTCACTGCGTTGACTTTCACTGGCGATTTTGTTTATTTTGTGTTTTTCTTTCTTCTCTCTCTCTTTAGTTCTTCTATTGAGGGTTTTCTCGCTTCTTCTGCACTGATTACTAACTAACATTGCATACAAGCGGATTCAGTCGCACTTCTGTTGGCGTTGTGCCCATGCAATGTGCTGCTACTGAGAAAGTTTGGATTTTATATCAAAACTGCTTGTATTCTCATGTCTTTGGTCTATGGAAGCTATGCTGTAATTGGTAGTTTGATGCTGTGTCATTTGAGGAACTTGTTCATTCGAAATACTTGCATGTTTTCAGATTCCGGAGTAGACCCGGCAGCTGCTGGATTGCAGGTTACCCCTGATGGGAAACCAAAAATTCTTGACGTCATAGATTGGTAAGTGGAAAACTACTTGTTGTACTTATTATTAACAGGGAGTTTCTTTTCTGGTTTACCAACAAGTATCCGATGCTTTTCCCTTCAGCACTGGGAGTGGAGATATTGATACCTCAAAGGTGGTGAAGGCTGATGCTGATGGTCTTATCTGCGGGACATCAGGTTAGTGCCTGTGAATGTTCAGGTGTCCGTAATTTACAATGCATGTTAATATGCCAGGAAGACGCTCTGAGTTTTCAGACGTCCTTAAGTAGTTTGTGGCAATTGCAAATTCTTGGACGGTGGCAGTGCCAGAGAATATTAATTAACTTTTGAGTAACTACAAGGAAAACAATTTGCTAGGAGGATATTTCATAATTTCATGGTTCAGGCTTTCTACAGTAAATTGCAATGATTGCGTATGGAGAATTAACCAAATCTCCTCATGCTCATCTTGCGGTGACTGCTAGCTGCTTATTCTCAAACTAATACTTGAATGGATTAGTGAAGTGACTATTTGTAGTTTCCTAATACTCTGATAGTCTTATGTATTAAGTGTATTTTGTCCTATAATCCTAATTTATTTCTGATATACTCGTAATTTTGTCATGAAATCATGTTTTCCCCTGTTCCACTTCTTCTTTATGTTTCAGCCTGTGTTCTCCCTTCGTATGTTAATATGAATAATCGGATTATTGAGCTAATGAGCTCTTGTTTGTGCTTTAATCCCATAAATATGATGTGCAGGGTCATCTTTGGTTATCAATACTTCATGGAAAAATCCTTCTGGTGAATGGCATGTGGGTCATAAATTGGTTTATGAGCTCTTCACAGAAACGTTGACTTCTAGGTTGAAGGTAATGTCTTACTTTTATGGCAATACTTTAACTTTAATAGGTCGATTACTCTTTGGACATTATACCTATGGTTAAGGTATGCATTTCCTTATTCTTCAAATTTTCATTCGCAGAAAGAAAGAAAGAGAAAGTGGGACGAGAAAAACCAGGAGGAAATTGCTAAGGTTGTGAAAGAACTTGATGATTTTGATAAGGTTTGGAAAATTTGCTTGATCCTGCTTAAATATGATAGTGCTTCAAATTATATACAATGTTCTCACAACTCTAACAATTTGTGTGGAATAGATAAATAAATGTGAAGGCAAATTATATGTATCATGCATGTAAATTTATATGGAATGTAAAAAATTCTAACAAACCATTCTATTTATGGTTCGTGAACACTGCGGCATATTTCTCATATCACCTGAAATACACAGGACCCAACCACCTTGTTATTTATGCATAATTTTATTATATTTCGGTTTTTTCTTCCTTGCCGCTTCCTTTCTATTTGCTTGCATGGCAAGATAGGAAAGGAAAAATTCTCCCCTTCTTGAGCGACAATAGAAATGGTGCTTCTGATATTTGGGCATAAGACTTTGTAGTATAATCTTCGTGTAAATACTCGAGTGAACGATTGTTTCTTGCCCACTTTAAACAGCAAAGTTAAGAAAAGAGCAAGGAAATAGGAAAAAAATTTGAAGTTTTTAATTTGCTGGCTTCTTATTATTTTTGGTTTTTTAACAGATCCTGTTAGCGTTTAGCTATTATGCTCCTTTGAAATTTGTGATTTCATGTGCCTCTTTGCATTGCATTTTTATTTGCTATACAATGTAATCATGTATATGACAAATTATGATGCGTTTTCTAGAAACACGTCAAAGTAGAGGATGCAAAACTAAAAAAGGCCCGTGAAGATATCCAGAATCGACTTGACATTCTTAGAAGGCAGTCTGAGGTGACGTTACTTTTATTGCTCTTTAGTAGTTTAGCTGCTTTTCCTACTCTTCGGTAATGGAAATAATTCAGTTAGTTAATACATATGATATTCTGGATGCGTTTGCTCTACCACATATTCCACATGATTTTGATGTTTGAGGTGTATCAATGGGTTACAATGGCAGAATTATGGTGGTTAGTTCTGTACAATGTTTCTCTTGTGATTTCTTTTGGTATACATGTACTCTAGGCTTCACCAAAGGAATAACTTGTTCTTTATTTTGTGGCGAGAATCGCCCAATGCCCGCATGATGGGGAGTCTTTTCTTTGGATGAGATAAAAATTCTATTAGAAGAAATTGAAAGAATACAAGGGAGGGTAATAATCCTCTGCAGACAAAATTACCGAGAAACCAACAAGATAGAAATTTGATAGAAATCACTATCAAGATCATTAACCCAAGCCAACTCTCTACCCATATAAATCCTGTTTCATAACACGATTTTGGGTAAAACTGAAACCAATATGACGTATCCTAAATTTAACTTAAACTGAATAACTTATCTATCTACATATTCATGTCCTGTTGGCAAGGCAAACTTAGGAGGTCAATAGGTTGTTTCACCTCCGAGGGCGCACAACACTTGGCGGATGCCTAACTACAAAGCAGCTGCGTCACCAATAGAGCCAATTGCTGTTGGCCAAATAATTTATTCCTAGATAACAAAAACTAAAGACCTGATATTGAAACTGACTACATTAACTGTAAACCAAGCTCTCTGTGCGGGTGCATGCATGTGCTCCGGTAGGGGTGGGTGTGCGGCTGCCCTGGGGGATGTGTAGGTGCATGGGCGTGTGTTCGTGTGTGCATGTTTTTTTTGGGGGGGGGTGTTGCATTGCATATTGTACTTGTCAGAAAATGCCTGAAATTTGTAACCAGAATTAACTAAAGGTGCATATCTTCACTATTTGGATATACCTAAATCCTGAAACCATAATTGGCCAAAATTGTTATGGGTGCTGCGCGAAATCTACAGCAGTCATTGAAATAGTAGAGTGAGAAGTTCTTGCTTAACTGGCCAGTGGTTGAAATGGCGATAAATATATGTGTTTAGCAATCTATTAAACATATAATGCCGAAAAATGATTAATTATATAATTAAGATATAAATAATTAAGTATACACTTAAGTTTTTATGACCTCAATGAGTAATTCCATGTAAATGGAAGAGGTACACAATTTTGCAAAATATAGTGATCAATGATCAATAACAGTCATTTAAATAAGATCTCCGATCTTGAAAAATGTTAGATGGCATTAAATCCATATCTAATATTTGTGGATAATAAATTAGATGAAAGCGTTGGCCAAGAAGAGACAGAGATGAAAAGTAAAAAATTCCATTAAAGGAACTGAAACAATGTCGTTTCAATTAGATGAAAAAATTAAAACCAAAAAGCACTTTATTGATGTTCTTATTATTGAGGCACGAATTCGTGTTCACCTTTTCAAACTATGCGATAATTATATGTTTTTACTGCGATTGGCTAATCTCTAATTGTAATGCTGCAATGCTATTGTTGTTTTTAGAGCTACGATGACAAAGGGCCTGTCATAGATGCTGTTGTTTGGCATGATGGAGAGGTGTGGAGGGCGGCTCTTGATACTCAGAGTCTTGATGATGATCCAGACTGTGGGAAGCTTGCTGACTTTATTCCATTAACTAATTATAGGTACATGGTTGCAGTACTAATATGGATTCTAAATGCTTGTCTCAATTGATATCTTCTTTGCACGGTCACTCATGGAATCAGCAGATGTACTTGAATTTGATAATAATTTCCTGCTTTTCAAGTATCTATGTGCTGTTCACGCAAGACATTGTTAAACTCCACTCTTTTAGTCACTAGATAGAACACTTTATTTTTTATCTTATTTCCATGCACAGGGATGTAAAAGATGTATATTTTTTATAAATAATTTTTGGTTTCCCTGCAAGTAATCGTTTTTGAAATTATCTAGTTGGATACTGTAGTGCAATTGTGTATGCAAAAAGGCATGCGCCTTGTTTACAAGGTTAAGGAAATCAAAATGTCCGTCCTTTTTCTCTTAGTTTCATACTTCACTGTAGGATCAAATGATCCACTTAAGCCGTATAAATTATGAGTGGATCTTCACGGGATGGACAATGCAAGGAACTCTCTCTCTCTAAATTTTCCTCTGAATGAATGGTGACATTAGTTTTGAAAAATAGGATGATAATTAGTTTGGACTTGTTTGCTGTTATGGTTTTTAAGTTTTTATCTGATAGATGAACTGTTAGTTAGACAGTTACTGGTTCACGACTTCTGATTTTGTTCCGTGAGACTTATGGTCAGGTTTTTTTTTTTTTTTTTGGGGTGAATTCATGGTTTATATTTTTTGTTGAGTATCTTTTATGGTCATAATTTTCGTCATATTTAATTTTTCTCCCCCAGTTTCCATTGTGACTCTGAATTGTATGATCTGACACTTTGTACAATTCACGGTTAAAAAATAGCCTTTGATTCACAATTTGAATTGTTATTTGGTAATTATTATTTTAATCATGATCATTTAAATGCCAACCTATTCATTCAGGACGGAGAGGAAGTATGGTGTCTTCAGCAAATTAGATGCTTGTTCATTTGTTGTTAATGTCTACAATGATGGGAACATCTTAAGTATTGTAACAGACTCCTCCCCCCATGGTACCCATGTTTCTGGTATAGCCACTGCATTCCACCCGAAGGTACTGAAATATAATCTCATTCATAAGTGCTATTCTTCAATGAACAACATACCTTTTGATAAATGATACTGCTGTCAGGAGCCCTTGTTGAATGGAGTTGCACCTGGAGCACAATTAATATCTTGTAAAATTGGGGACTCTCGCTTAGGTTCAATGGAAACAGGAACTGGTTTGACACGGGCAATAATAGCTGCTGTGGAGGTGTTTCAATATGCTCTACTATTTACATGAGTGCATTGTTGTCCTGGATATCTCAACAATTTCATCTTGGGCTCAAAGCATTTTCTAAATTTACTATTGCAGCATAAATGTGATCTAATCAACATGAGTTATGGTGAACCAACCTTACTTCCTGACTATGGACGCTTTGTTGACCTTGTGAATGAAGTATGTTCTAGACCCTGGTTTACCATCCCGGCTATTCATTCGTTTTCTTTGTTTCCTTTTTCTAAAATGCCATGGATGTTGTGATATTTTATATTCAGGCTGTAAACAAGCATCGACTGATATTTGTAAGCAGTGCTGGAAATAGTGGCCCAGCATTGAACACTGTTGGTGCTCCTGGTGGGACATCTTCAAGCATAATAGGTGTTGGTGCGTATGTCTCTCCTGCCATGGCAGCTGGTGCACATTGCGTAGTAGAACCTCCAGCTGATGGACTTGAATACACTTGGTATGCTTTCTTTTTCCGTGAATGCTTTCTCGTTGGGTGACTTTGTTCCTATACTATGATTTTGTTTGTCTGGATTCACCTTAGTATCATTTACAATTGATGGGAACATTTTGCAGGTCTAGCCGAGGACCAACAGCTGATGGAGACCTTGGTGTCTGCATAAGTGCTCCGGGTGGTGCTGTTGCTCCTGTTCCTACATGGACTCTTCAACAGCGCATGCTAATGAATGGGACGTCAATGGCATCTCCATCAGCCTGTGGGGGAATTGCATTACTCATAAGTGCAATGAAGGTTCTAGGATGTGATTTTGTTTTAGCTTGTCTGATTTAGTTGACGCTATTACGCATCCATATCTATAATCTGAGATTTATATTGTTAGTATGGGGTCAGATTGGAAGTAGCTGATTGTTTAGTTTGTTAGTCACACAGGAAACCTTAATAGCACTCTATTAGTATCAATAATGGACAGATGCATGCAAAGAGTTTGAATGATTTGAATGTCAGTGTGTTTATGTTTGGGGATGTACCAACTTTGCAGGCTGAGGGAATTCCTGTAAGTCCATATATTGTGAGGAAGGCTCTTGAGAATACAGCAATTCCTATAGGTGATTCAGCTGAGGAAAAATTATCCACTGGACAGGGGCTTATGCAAGTTCACAAGTTAGATATTCTTCCCAGTCTTTATCTCTAGGGAATATGTAGTAAATGGTAGCATTATAAGAATTTGGTATTAAATCATTGACTAAATGACAGGGCTTATGAGTATCTACAGAAGTCTCATAATGTTCCGCGTGTATGTTATCCAGTAAACATCAAGCAATCTGGAAAAGAAAGTAAGTTTATATTCTTTCATTGCAAGTAAACATCAAGCAATCTGGATTATCTACAGTAAGTTAATAAATGGCACATTATTATTAGTTTTTTTTAATTTGTCAAAACAATTACTCTCTCCGGTCCTATTTATGAGCTTTAAATCTAGAAAGGGGTGTGATCCATTTTATAAACTTCAATTTGGGATTTGTCTTAACATTTAATGCATTTTTCCAATTCGGCCCTAATTATTTATTCTCTCTCATCTAACATACTCTTATCACATTTCCCTACATATTCTCTTTTATCTTTTTTCTCATTTGTTATGAGGACATATTTGGAAACAAAATTATATTTCTAACATATTTATTATTTTTAACTAATTTTAACGAACAATTCGTTATCCGTGTATTAGTTATTTAAAACTTATAATAAAGATCAGAGGGAGTAATTTTTTTATAAGATCCAAACTGGACGTTAAATAGTTAGAAGAGTAATCGTGATAGTTATTGGCTACCTTCAAGGTTTGAGCATTGAAAACCTTTCATCACTATTTGCAAAATCAGCTCAATTTGAATAATCATCAAGCTGTGAATTTGTGTGTTTGTTGAGCAAACTTCACTCATTATAAGTTCTGTATTTGGAAAATTAGCTTCTGATTTGGTTCACCGTTGATAATAATGTTGAACTAGTATTACAATTTGAGTGTAAACCCTCATGACAACTAGAAGGATTTAGAAACAAAATTCAAATGTTGAGGTAAAATGTCCAAACAACCCTACATAATCTCTTTAAACATGTCTGGAAATGTTTTTCATTGCATAATGTTGACTTCTGGATGCCACATCCTCTATTGTGTGTGTTGACACTTGAGAGGCACCAATTAAGGGAAAAGAAAATATTTAATATGCTTATGATTTGTTATTTTATCAATTATGTATATCTTAGGTTAGTTTTAGATATTATCTTTTGTTAATATGGTATTATATCTTAGAAGATAAATCTAATATATTAGGAATTAGTAAAAGATTTGATATCTAAGGTCCTAGGATTAGTGTTAGGTGGCTGCTTGTATTAAGACCTTTTGTGCTCAATTTTTATCTTTCGAATAAAGCTAACAAAGGCCCACTTCACCTCTGTATTCTACAGTGTGCATGAGCTCATTATTGCCTGTGTTATTGATAATGTGATGCTGTTGCTGAGTAAATGCATCATAAAGGATAGAAAAAAAATAATGAAACTAAAATAAGAATGTTTACATATGCCTGTAACTTACGCTTTTCAAAAACTTATACATGAAGCAAAGATTGTTTATTTGAATATGGGAAAATTAAATCGTTATTTGTTTGCTGATGGCAGATCCGTTATCACGAGGCATCTACCTTAGGGAGGCTAGTGCTTGCCAGCAACCTTCTGAGGTGAGGTCTTTTATACTTTGATGTGCATTGATGATAACAGTATGCTTTTAAATGAGGTATTCGCTTTAAAGAATGTGATTTGTAAATGATCTTAATTCAAAAAGTGGGAAAGGATGAAACTGAAAGATGGTAAGATCCAGACTTTATCTCAATGTAGTCAGTTGGTTAGAATGACAAGAAGTTGAATATTGATAAACAAGACTAGTTAACCTTTCTTGCCAGGGTGACAATATTTTTGCATTTGGTCTTTTCATGTTAGACAAGTGCAGCAAATCCCTACACCAATAATTTTGTTTGGTAGAGAAGTTAAGTAACGAGGTATATTATGAATCTTGATGGACCCTTTTCAGGCTGATTCTTCTTTGTTAACAACTGTAATTAATGACACTTTATTTTATATTCTCAAGATTTTCTTTTTATCTTTAATTCCCATCGGCTCCTACAAATAAAGCTGAAGGCAAGAGAATGCAATTGGACAACTAGAAATAAGGGGAATCATCGGGATCATAGGTTTTGTTATCACACAAATGATATACACTTGCCACTTGTTATAACCGAATCCAAACAGTGACTTGCCATAGCACATGCATATATCTACAGTGAAACTTACATGCATGCACAAATATGGAGATACTACACATGCTAATCCATATTAATTTTACCTTGCAATCCTCTCGTAATTTTGGTCTCCCATTATTCTTTATCACCCCTTTGTTTAATTTTGTAATCTCAAACACCGATTCATCACAATCTGAACAAGTCAGCCATTGATTGCCATCTTTATTAATTTGTAAGTTTAGCATGCAAAAATCATCCAATAAATTTGTTATTCATGTTGGGATATGTTATAACCTCTAATCTGGGATCCTTCTTTGGTTGTCTCTGCTTCCAAAAAAAAATGTATTAATTTTGTAATAACTCTTTCATTTAAATATGGTTTTTGATTTTACAACTTTTTTGCGCTTTCATTTGGTGGTTTTCTGTATAACCTATGGTAATACTCTATTCACAGTGGATAGTGCAAGTCAGTCCAAAATTTCACGAAGATGCCAACAATTTCGAGGATTTAGTTCCGTTTGAGGAGTGCATTGAGTTACATTCTACTGATAATACAGTTGTGAAGGCTCCTGAATATCTCCTGCTCACCCATAATGGCCGCACCTTCAAGTTAGTCAGCTTTCTTTCATGTCTTTCTTTTGTCCTTAGCATTTATGGGCTGTCTATTCCCGTAGATGTTATTCTATTTTTCTTCATATGGATTTACTTCTAAATTTCCCATCGTTATGCAACATGAAACAAATTCTACATTAGTGATTTTTGAATAATACGCTCAATATATACTGAGAAACTTGTTTTGATGCATGAATGTATATTCATCAATACACATGATTATAATCCTAGTTGTTTTGACCGTTTTTGTTTTGAGTGATTTACACATGACTTTCTTCCAACTTTCAGCATATTTGTTGATCCTACTAGTCTCAGTGCCGGTCTGCACTACTATGAGGTCTATGGCATTGACTGCAAAGCACCATGGCGTGGTCCACTTTTCAGAATTCCCGTGACCATAACCAAGCCCAAGGCTGTGACAAACCAGCCTCCGCTAGTTGTATTTTCCAAAATGTTATTCAAGCCAGGTGTGCATGTGTTTAAAATAGTTTCTATGTGGACAATACTTACATCATGTTTCTCATATCCATTATGTCCAGTTCTTCCATCACACATGATCATGTCCTTTTTTTGAAATATTAGCATTTAGTAGTAGTTAATTATAAATCCACATGAAATAAAAAAAGACAAATGGCCATATGTAATTGGAAAACTCGAAATAATGGGTATAAGGAACTTGACATAAGTTTTTCTGTTCTATATTGTTTCTACTTGTGGCCTACCATGGTTTTGGATTTGAATGCATCCTGAGCATAACGTTTGAGCTGTTGCTTATTTACATTTTCTTATCTCTAAATATTTTCTCAACAATTTTAGCATCTTAATTATGTTGCATTTGCTTTCTTGGTTCTAGTTTCCTTCTTCAATTGTGGAAGCAAGGCTAACTAACCATCATATTTTAATTTTAATAAATTTTTTGCTTTGTTAGGCCACATAGAAAGGAGATATATGGAAGTCCCACATGGCGCATCTTGGGTTGAAGCAACTATGAAAGCATCGGGTTTTGATACAGCTCGAAGATTTTTTGTGGACACTGTTCAGGTATAGCATGTAGCTTGAAACTGTGTTCGATTTTGTGGACAGTGATCAACATGCTTTCTGTCTCTAGATATGTCCATTGCAAAGACCTCTGAAATGGGAGAGTTTGGCAACATTTTCTTCTCCTGCTTCCAAAAGCTTTGCCTTTAAAGTAGTAGGCGGTCAAACATTGGAACTAGTCATTTCTCAGTTCTGGTCAAGTGGCATAGGTAGTCCTGAGACTACCAGTGTGGATTTTGAGGTAATAGTGTCTCCTCTCAGAATTTTGGATAATTTTTGTTTGTGACATAGACTATATCCTAGTTTTTGAATTACAAAGGTATCTGCTCATTGTTCCTTGCTCTTCAGTGGGTTATATTGAGGTGGAACTCAGTTCCTTTATGACCTTAACTTTCTTGTTTGATGGTTAAGTTCTTATTACATCTGCATGACAATTAGTGTAGAGGGGATTTTGAACATTTCAATAAACAACTTACAAAACTTGTATATCCTACTAACCAAATGATGTTAAAAACTGTATGAAGGATGTAGTAACTTAGTGGCAATGTGTGGTCTATTTATGAATTTGGAAGATATGGCTAGAGCTGAATGATTATATCTTAAGTGTGTCTTGTCTTGTCTCTGGATGAACTGTGGACGAGAATCCTAATTGCAGCTAAAGCTGCACTGTATGATGGGAAAAGCTTATTATATTTCTTTTATGGTCTGCAACACTGTCTTTGCAACTTATGTGATTCTAATTCATTCACAAATGCCCAACATTGATAAAAAATTATGAAAACGGATATTATATATTTATATGTTCTCTTGCTCTTTGTTAAAGACGCTTCTTGTTGAATTGTGTGCAATTTTAGGTCATGTTTCATGGTGTAAAAGTTAATCAAGAGGAAATATTACTTGATGGAAGTGAAGCACCAGTAAGAATTGAAGCTGAAGCGCTGCTGGCTTCTGAGAAACTTGCACCTGTAGCAATTCTAAACAAGGTGAAGCTTGTTGTGTTTTTTAATTGCCTGGTTCATGTGTATTCTTTTTTACAAGTTTTCTCCCTTTCCCTTTTTGTATTTTTCTGTTATACTTACTGTAATGCCTATTGACGTTATATAAGTTTAAACATGCAGATAAGGGTTCCTTATCGACCAACAGAGGCAAAAATCACTGCACTTTCAACAGATCGT